TAATATGTAAGTTAAGCGGGTTTTTTTCTGGTTTTAGTGGAAAGAAACCTTTCCTTCGAACCCAATTTAGCCATAATAAATTAAAAGGAATGGCTTGTTGATGTCTTTCTAAGCGTCAAAAATACAGATTTTCATTAAAAAACACAAAATCTACAGATTTTTCGATTAAAAATGGCCGATTTTCATTAGATTTGGTTGTCTAAGTTTTGAAAAATAGTTTTCCGCTTGAAATGCAGCTAAATTTGCTAAAAAGACGATTAATGCTTACTAAACGTTACTAGTTATATCTAGATTGAGGAAAAATAAGCCCATCACCTGGAAATATTTAATTTTATATTTCTCTATCATTGAATGATTTTCTTCAGAATATCCGCGACCTGGTCTATGACACGGAAATGGACCTTCTACGCCAATCCGAAGAGCTCCTCCAGCAGCAGCAACACTCCATGCAACTCCGATGAATCTCCACTTTTGATTCCCCTTTTATGTACATATTTTAAAAATCTTCCTGCCATCTAGCCTTATAGCAAACGGTGCACGCTTTTTTGCACGGTTCTCCCCGCATCAGACTCGTATTCTGTAATTTATCCGGGTAGTTTTTTTCAGTTATTTTCGTTTAATATGCATGAAAACTTGTAATTGACGCCGAACGCCCAAAAATACATTTTCACTCGGGTAATTGGGCCGTCATGCCCAGAAATGTATCTACAAAATTACCTTTTTTGCGTTTTGAGACCTCGAATAAAGTCTTCAATTCGCTTTCAATTTGCTAAAATGCGCTAAAATTCTTGGTACTGGTCTGTTAATGGGTGGTCAGCTAATGTTGTTTTGTTTTTTCTGTCGATACCGTTTTTAATTTTTTAGTAGTGTTTGAATGCTAGAAAGCTGCAAAAAGCGTTATTTTTATCTTTTTTCGCCATATTTCATAGATTTTTGACCAAAAAGTACCATTTTTCGAGAATTTTTGCGGTTTTTATATCGTATATCTGGTTCCGAATTCCCTTAAAACAAAGCAACACCTTTATTCGCGCGTAATTGTGTGAGTGGAGGGTATTCAGAGATCCCGGCGAGAGATAGGGGGAAATAGAGAGGAGAGTACGAGAGAAAATAGAGAAAAAGTGGGCGGTCCCCGAGGCTCAAGAATTTTGTGGTGTCAATTTTGGGAAAAGCGGAGTGATAGGAAGGGCAAAACTACAGCTGACGTATCTGGTGGGTATTTCTGTGGCATCGTCGTCACATCTATTTCCGTCTGCCCCATAGACCGTTGGCTTGTTGCCACGAAGAGGCGCTGCAAAATTTGGTTCTTTCGCATTATCGGGGGGGGACTTTTCGATAAGGATCGAGTTTTTCAAATATATTAAGAGTGGCAGTGTCCCTAAACTTTTTTTGCAGAAAAATGTCAAAACTATCGATTTTTTTTACCCAAAAATTGCCTTTTTGGACAAAAACTCGACTTTTTTTAACTCTTTTGGAAGTTTTTAGATACATTTCAAGTGGAAATTTAGTGTCATTTTCTGAAAACACTTAAAATACTTCCTATGAAATACCAGCAATTTCTAGACCTCAACAAAAAAATCTCGCGACGTTCGCCAGCGTACCGTTACGGAATTTCAAGATTTTCGGGTTTTTTTTTTTTGAAATTTTATTTAAAGCATTTAATTCAAAAATAAGAAAACGGCTATCGCACCTCCAAAATAAGTCTATTTACAGGTTACGGTTGCGTGTTCCTTAAAATGCGCTCTAAATTTACTACAGCACTGTAGAATCCTAACAAAATCGCTGAATTTCTTGGAGCTCGAGTTTCAGTTTCAAAAATACGTTTCGAATTCCGCCACTTTCCCCTAAGCGCTTTTTGATTACGTTAGTTTACAAACTACATAATTTAACCGATTACCGTACTTTTAAACAAGCAAATTTTCCCACCGTTTTAAGCCCATCGGGAAATAGGAGGCCATCGGATAGTTGTCGGCTGATCTGGAATTCATGATTTGTGACAATAGGCTGATCGCCTGCTAGCAGAGATCATTTAGGATATCCTTTTTGGTTACATTTTATGCTATTAAATTTATGATTTCCGCCTACCTCTTCCCCCATAGCGTGTTCAACTTGTTCCAATTCTCGACGGGCCGCTTCTCCTCGATGAAAAGATCCTAGAAAATGGATTTTGTAAAATTTGATTATTCCATTATTGTTATTGTATTATATTATTATTATACTACGTTATTATACAAAATGATTTTGAACTTACACTGCCTTTATCCGATCGTTTTCCCCATAGACCGTGTGCCTTGGCCCATCGACCCGGTCGATCATCATCTGTAAATCGCTTTAAATCAGGGGGATAAAACTTTAAAGGGACCGGCAAGGCATTGCTAAGGATTTTACGGTATTGGATTGTTAGCGGGGGGAGGGGTCGGATGAAATGTCATGATTATCGCTCTATTACTCACTTTCTCTCTCACTCGCTCTCGCTCGCTCTCTCTCTCGCTCTCTCTCACCCTCTCTCTCTCACTATCTCTCTCGCCCACTCTCTCTCGCTATCTCACTCGCTATCTCTCTCTGTCTCTCTCTCGCTCTCTCTCTCTCTCTCTCACCTGGATCAGCCTCTGCGAAGACGGCAAGCACGAGCATCGCGACGACGAGCAGGATGAGGCCGGATGGGCTCATTGTGGCGGGTACCCTACAAAACAGTAGTCATCGAGTTTTTTACCTAAATAATATACGATCGAAAACAACATTGAAAATATTTCAATGACGTAATCTTTGTGTCTAAAGGAATAGATCGTGGGGGTTAAGGGAAGATGTGCGAAGAATGACGCTGCGGGGCCGTCGATCCAAAATAGGTGTCGGTTGATATAGGAGAAGCAGGGAGAAGGCATGGTACACTAATGAGCGATATGAGGAGAACGTACCTCCGAACACCCCAGCGCTACGAGACGCTACGTGATGACGAGGGAATAGGGAGCGTGGGTGATCGTTAGTTTATATTTAGCAATTCATACGTAAATGGAAAGATTCAGAGTGATTTAAAGGGACGAGCAAGGTATGGTTGTGGATTTTCCACCGCGAAACGCAGCGCGCAAGCGCACGCGTGGGAAAGTCTGCGATGCGTTGCGGGTCGCGGGCGCAAAATCTATGCAAATCCACAGCCAAAAATCCAAACTCATTCCTTGCCGGTCGGTCCCTTTAAAAAGTGCCGATAAAACGGGATACGGTAGGAAAAAGCCCTTATTTTTAGAATTTTTTCGATTTCTGGGATAAATGCCAAACTTTAGGTGCGAACCGCTGTAATGTGCCCTTATGCCTTATATATACTGTAGGCAGGTCGTAAAATGAGATTGGATAGGTTCGGGGGTTGATGGGCTTTTCTATAAAATCTGGTCGTGTTGCCTAATTCCGGAAATGAAAGCTAAGGGCTAAAGGGTTACGGTAGAAAGGGCACCATATAAATTGCCCTGAACTTTTAATCGTCTTAAAAATGATAAAAACACAAAAAATGAAGAATTTCGGAAATGAAAATAGCTACGGCTAGGTATACGGTACAAAAAAAACCCATATAAATTTATTTGAATTTTCAAACGATAAGCCATTATGCCATTGCAAAAAGCTAAAATTCCCGGAATTAAAATGACAGCTAGGGTGACGGTAGAAAGGCATCCTATAAAAGTTATCTGGTGTTTTGATCGATCAATCGCTATCTAAATAAATAAGTTAAGTCAGCTGCAAGATAGAATAAACAAGAAAACAAGAGAATATGATGAGAGAAATCGATAAACGCGTCTGATGGCCATGGAATTCTCCTCTTTTTGCTTACCCAAATAGATGGGGCCGAATTCGCCCTTAGGCACTCATAACCCGTCATCGGAAAATGAAGAGAAGAAGCCCCCTCTCTTCACCACACACAAATTGGCAACCAGCAAAAATACGATGCATTAAATTCTTAAAAAAGAACTTTAAAGAGCCGTTGAAGGCAGAAGTTATTTTCGATTTATTGCTATCCGCTATTTAGCTATTTAATTTATTTTAAATTTAGCTTGCTTTTCAATAAAAATTAAATTTAGCCATTTAAGAATGCTATTTCCACTCTTTATCTAGTTTCTTGAGGGTTTGCGTTTTGTAACGAATTTATGGGCTTTTTAAATGATTAAAACGCGTCAAAATTGATAACAATCGTTAATATAGCTCGAAAAATTCGAAATTTAGCTAATTTAGCTAACTTTTTCTGCAGATTTTTATGTTTTCGATTTTTTTGAACTATTATTTTAATTTTATAAATGGCTCCGAATTAGCAAAAAATCACAAGATTAATGACCAGTTAACAATAATGTCCAAAACAATCGGTTTTTGGGCAATTGAAGCAAAAGCAAAAGGTAAAATGACCACATAAAATAGATGCTTATCCCAAAACCTGTGATTTTAAATTCCGAAGCACCCCTAAATACCCTGGAGATTCGACGTAACAAGCGGCAAAAGCGGAAATTTGTTTTCTATTTTTTTTTGTCAGACTATAGGGTTATGGGACTTCCGCGCTCTAACAATTCCCTCGGGGAATCGACCCCTAATTTCTGCTCTCCATAGTTGTTCATTTTTTTGGAGAAAAGGAACACGTGGGATTTGGCCATAAACATTCGGGGTTTATGAATTGAAATTTGAAAACTTAGAGAAAATAATGATGCGATTAATCACTCAGAGGTTTTCGCAGCTGGAAATAACAAAAATGCAGGTTTGAATTTTATGAAGCCGCATTGTAAAAAATATGATTTCACCATCGATTACGCCATGTATTAAGCGTCAGGAGTAGGTAGCGAGCTACAAAAATCGTGAAATATAGAAGTAGGAAAAGAGTAAACAAATTAATCATTGTAAAGGAAGGAACGTTTGCCAAAATGCATTTTTCGAAAGCCCGTTTTTCAATAAATCGGCATTTCGCGATCGATTACGATAATTAATAGGTGGAAATACATAATACCGACAGCTAAAACCCCGACAGGCTATAGTAGCTGTTTCAATTAAAACTATCTCCAAAAATATGCCGGTATTTTAGCTTTCAGTATTTTTTTCTGAAATTCGTAGTGAGAGTTATTAGGCCTTATCACCCTTAAAAAGTGGTAGTTAAGTAAAAAAAGTAAAAATACAAAAATGCACTTTCCGAGCCGTTTTCACATTTAAATGGACAGAGCCAGCAGACTACCCCAAATGCAACTTTCCCATCCGTCTCAACGGTGCCCTCTGTAGTCGTTGTGTGGCAATTAGCGGAATGAGGGGAGGAGGAGGAGCAGCAGCCCTTTAGCAGGGCAAATGAGCCGTGGATTGGAGGGCAAGAATGAGCAAGAAGAAGAAGAAAAGACCCTTCTAAGTATCACCCCTACCCATCTAAATTACTTTAACTCACTACGTGCACCGACTAATGACGTGCACTTTCTGTATCGTTATTATAGAAAAAAAGTAGGAAAAAGTGATGAAAATACCGTGTACCTAAAAATGAAGAGGGCTACCAAAAATGCTCTCGAAACGTCAAAACAAAGTCGAAAATGTCGAAAAACAATCGCAATTTTTCGGACTAGTCGGGATTGTTTGGCGTTGATTTTGGACCGTCGACGTTTCCCTGCTCCTTTAAAAAGTCGCATTTGTGGGATAGAGCAAGAAATAGAGCAAGAGAGAGAGGAGACAGGGAGAGAGAGACATAGTGAGAGAGAGCGAGATAGAGAGAGAGAGAGAGCCAGAGAGACAGCGAGACCGGGAGAGATAGAAGAGATGAAAAATATCGACAAAATGGATGAATCCTAAAAAAGCTTTACCTAATACCGTATACCTTAGAGAGCCGAAGTTAGGCAGAAAGTTGTGTAAAAAGTTGTGGGGATAAATGAGCCGCGTACAAGAAATAGGACCGGAAATCGAAAAGCTCTGGGTTCATTAGCTAGGGGCTGACACGGCTGAAAGATGACCCGAAGCTACCGTAGTTGAAGTAGCAGGAAGAAGCCGTAACGTCCCGTAATCTGGCCCCGCAACCGATAGCACTTGACTCGAGGAGAGAGAGGGAGAGAGAGAGAGAGGAGAGAGAGAGAGAGAGAGAGAATGTGAATGCAGGGGATTGTCCTTGTTTTCCGGGCCGCTCCGCACAAAACGCTAATTAGTCATCGAATCGACTGGAGGTGGGTGAGGAAGAAGAAAAGAAACGAATTGAGATGATGATGATGATTATGGGTAATTGAGATACTAAAATTTGACTAAAGCAGCACAAAAAAATGCCGACCGACGAATTGGGAAAATTGTCGTCTGGCAAAGCGAAAAATGCCGACAAGCCGAAATACCGGCATTTGCGGTATGGAAATTAGTTGATCAAAAGGCCGACAGGGTAATCCCGACGAGCTAAGACGTCGAAAAGGCGAAATACCGACGCTTGGAAATTGCTGGCTCAAACGACGACGAGAAAATGCTGGAACGCCAAAATATTTCAATCGAAAATACCGACAAGCCAAAATATCGACGCTGATCGGTCTTTTTAGTGTCATTTTGACTTTCGGTTTTCGGACCATAGAAAGTCAACAAGAACAAAATATCGACAAAAAAGATATGTCGACATTTTCGTTATTTCGGTATTTTTTTTGTCGGCATTTGCGCAAGGTTCAGAAGGATTCCACATGCAGCAAAGATTTTTTGGGAGCCCCGTAGTGTGGATACTGTAGGAGTAGGCGACGCGGAAGGATCTTTCTGTCTAGCTTCTCCTCCCTCCCTCTCTCTCTCCTTCTCTCTCTCTCTCTCTCTCTCTCTCGTCCCCGAGGGTGACCAAATATTTTAGTCATCCGGAAACCCGGGGAGAAATTCGATGAGGGTGTCAGGGAGGCGATGGCCCGCCAGCGCTAGATACGGGATTCTGATGCATGGATTGGTCAGCCACTGTTTTCGATAGGGGTCGATTTCCAAAAGAATCCTTGCTAGCATGCCCCAAATCTGTCACGGTCTCTTTAAAGGGACTCGAAAGGGTGGAATCGAGCTCAAGATAAGCCCAAGTTAAACGTAAAAGAAACCTAAGCTTGGCCTACGCTAAATAGGCTAAGCCAAATCAAGCCTAAGCTAAGCCTCACTTGTCAGCCTTAGCTTTGCGTAGACCAAGGCTGAGCTAGGCCCAAGCTCAAGCCAGCGTACGCCTAATCTTCCACAGGCGTCATTATGCTCGTATCGTAGTTGTCGAAATCCAGCCACGAAAGGGTCGCTTTCACGCTTCCTGACCCCTCTAAAGGGAGCGTGTGAGCAAACTAGCAGCGATTATGATGGAAACTTGCTGACTATAGCTGTAGACGAGAAGAAGTAAGCAAACAACTACTCTGAAAGAACCGAGAAGAACTCTGGGCCCTTAGCTGATGTGGCCCAAGAGGGTACGAAGCACCGTGGGACCCTCGAAAATGTCGCGGATCAACAAGTCGACGGAGGGAAGGGGTCGAAAATTGGAGTCGGGTTGTAAAAAAAGAGATAAACAAATTTTATTCAATTAATTTATAGTTGAAACTGTAAAATCACGAGTTTCAGGTTTAGTCAATTCGTAGCGCGCTCGTTTGGTGAGCGCGTCATCCGGGTTCCAATCCTTTTCCCAGCGTTTACTTTCTTGCTTTTTTGCCGGTAGCCTCAAAATCTCAATTTCTAGGTTGTTTCATATATTTTCATGGTTT